GGTAAAAGGAAAGAAGGCATTTGGATCCTCAGATCACCTTTTAGAATACAGCCATCCACACCCACGGACTGCCAACTAGCTTGATGTTTGTGAGAGGTGGTTTAGGGGAGTACCTTGCTAATGGAAATGTTGTCCTGTGATCAGCACCAACATCTGAGAGCTTCTTATAGACAGAGTCTCAGGCCCATTTCGGCCTACTGAATTATAATCTGCATTTAAAGCACATTTTCTTGACAATTTATATACACTTTAAAAGTTGAGCAGCCTAGGTACTGTGGTTAAAAGCATAGGTTCTAGAGTCAGATCCTAGATTCAAATCCAAATGTATGATTAAATTAGTAATGTGGCTTTGTGCAAATTCTTAAAACTTCATGTGACTCGATTTTCTGATCTCTAGGTTGGGGCTATCAGTAATGGCTCTCTGTTATAGTGCTGTTGTAAGGATTATACCAGCTAATTTATATATATATATATATATATATATATATATATATATATATATAAACAGTTTGGTGAAGAGCTATAGAAGAACTTGATATTACAGCAAAACAAAACCACTTCTGACTTGTTTGAGTCATTTGGTCTCTGGCAGAGCTTCCAAACCAACAGCTTAACAAATTCATCCACTATTAAAATAATGAACCTGGATGAAGGTTTGTGTCAAGTCTTATTGTCTTATTTATGACTATAGAGACCATCTATCTCTACTCTTTCAGAATGGTCTTATAGTAAAATTCATTCACAGTTGACAGACATTTTTAGCCATCTACTATGTGTAAGGATTTTTTTTAATAGGCACTGGGGATGCCTCAGTGAAGAAAACAGACAAAAATAGCTGACCTCATGAAGTGTAAATTTTAGGAGAAGAGTGGGGAGGGGTTTGGAGATGGGGATTATACATCTAGTTTAGGTCTCATTATCAAGTTATGGTTCAGACTATTTTCCAATTACTTATTTGGAAAATTGAAACCCTATAATGAGAGGAAGTGAAAAATAGAAACTTTCTGTGAAGTTGTGGCTACCATAAAAATCAGTCCAGGACCTACAAGGTATTATGCATTGAACAAGACTTGGCTCTCCATGAAGATGTTTAAACCCAAAGTCTTACGTTAACAGTTAATGGATTAATGCTAATGGTTGATGGATTAGGGTGGAGTCTTCGTGTAATTATGGTGGCTAGGAAGTGGACCAGGGGGAGGTCTTTGGACCACTGGGGCTTGCTCTCAAAAGGCATTTCTCTAGAAAGTGTTGGTTAGTTAAGCAGAGTTTGGTCTAGTTTTTCTCTTTGCTTCTTGGATCACCATCCACTCATCCCTTCACACATACTCCACCATTGCCAGCCTCTGCTAGCTGCCAGGCTAATGGGGCTGCCTGATCTTCAATAGTGAACCTTCAAACTCTAAGCCAAACAAACCTTTTCCTTTCTGGGAAGCTTCTCTTGGGTATTTTAGTAAACGTAATGAAAAGCTGACTAAAGCACAAGGCTTTTTCATAATGGAGACACTTTGTGACTACAAAAATCTGAATTCTAAGGCAAGCCAGAAGTACACTTGTTAAAAACTCTAGTCAGTGCAGAGCTGGAATGCTGTGCATGTTTCTGATCAAACTTACTGATTTCCTAAACAGTAAGCAAGGGGCTACCCCCATGAGGCCTTTGATGAGTTCTGACCAGAAGGTATCCCTTCTTCTTGGAGAGTCTTGCCTATATTGGAAATGCATTCCAAATATTCTACCCATTTCTTTCAAATTGTTTTGTTTTTCTTCTTAAGTTGTCATTTTAAAATCTATTCTGTATATATTTTTTTAAACCTGTGACTTAGCCTTTTATGTTTTTAACAGTATCTTTTGTAGGGGAAAAGTTTTTGATTTGCACAAAGGCCTACTAATCAACTTTGTTTTCATTTTATCACTTGAGTTTTTGTGTTCTTGCTAAGAAATATTTGCTTAAAATGTCACAAAGACTTTTTCCTAAGTTTTCCTAGTTACAGTTTCCTGAACAGGCATGCTCTGTACCTGATCATCCGCATGGTGTGCTACGAAGACGGCCTGGGGGCCGGGAGGAGCCTGCTGGCCCTGAAGACCACGGATGCAAGCAAGGAAGAGTTCAGCCTGTGGGTCTATCAGTGCAACAGCCTGGAACAAGCACAAGCCATCTGCAAAGTTTTATCCACTGCTTTTGACTCTGTACTAACATCCAAGAAACCGTGAATTCTGCAACAGTGGAAGTCGACTTCATCCGAAGGGTGAGCTGTTTCCTACAAGTGGTTTCCACCTGCAGTGCTGAGCCGTTGCGGACAGATGAAGGAGTCCTTGGTCCTGCATTTCCTGAAGAGAGTGCAATGTAGAATGCTTATCATTCCGTTTTGTATTAAAATGTGTTGTACCGGGAAAAAAAAAAAAACAACTAGATGTTTACAGTTTTAGTTCATGGCACATTTTGGTTAATTTTTACATAATATTCAAGGTAAGGATCAAAGTTCATTTTTTTAAATATCCAGAGTCCAGCATAATTTGTTAAAAGAGACTATACTTTTTCTATTGAATCATCTTGACACCTTTGTCAACAATCAATTAACCATAAACGAAGGATTTATTGCTTGACATTCCTTCCAGCTGCTGAAATTTCAAGAGCTTTTCTTAAACTACAGCTAAATTTGCCTGAAGAAGTCAAGGAAGTTATTTACTGATTCTAAAATAATTATGTGCAAGGCATGATAAGGAGACATTTAGACAACAGTGTTGCAGTTTGATAGCCAGTGTTGTTTTCACCAAATCTGTGGTCTGTGTACGAGTGCATGAGGAATAGATTTCTTTGTACCAAAAACAACACAGCATGGCACAGGTGGTGGGAAAAAATCTAGTAGAGAATTTTCATGTCAGTGTGTATAATGAATCTTAGAAGACTTTTTAAGAGTAGAGCTACTTTGGAAATGAATGTGAATGTATTCTCCAAGAACAGGCATGCCCTGAAGAAAGAAAAAAGCCACTTACTCTTTGTCATGAAGTCTTTAAAATACCGTGAATGATCATGAAAGATGGCCAGCTCTTGTGGGTTACCTACATGCAATACCCATGATCTTTCCTGGAGATATACTCTTGTGTCGAATTAATTTCTTTTTTTAGTTTCTTTCCCACTATTTTAATTTGTCAGCATGATTTTTTTTCTAAATTGCTTCTCTGTGTATTTCTTTTGCATAATTCCCAGTACCAGAGGTATAAATAGTGTAGATTTTTCAAGAGTTCTAATGTATTTCATGCATATTTGTGAGTCTGATTCTGCAAAATTACATTATCATAAGAGTATCTTTGCATGAAAGCATCGTGTGTGTGTGTGTGTGTGCATGTGTGTGTGTGTAAAAAGATTGAAAATTCCTCGGTAAATGAAGAGATGTTCTTCTTGTACATCTGTATTTATGAAAGTGAAAATTTCCTGCTTTAGTTCATGAGTTTTGGGTAGTGGTGTTAAGCTATCTGCATGTACCTTAAATATGGACTTTTTTGTGTGTGTGGTAAACCCCCAATTCCATGTCAAAAAAACAAAAACGTATGGCAAAATTTAGAAAATGTAGTCTTGGCATACTATATGGCCTTTTTTCTGAAGACCTACACTTTGCTTTTTGCTAACCCACCTCTTATTGCTATGTGTATAGGAAAAACCATGTGAGTCCCATAGCTCAGGGCTAGAGATAATTGGCAGAACACAGTAGGAGAATCAGTGATGGAGGGAGGGGTTGGGAGAGAAAAAAAGGGACCTGGAAAGTGGAGGGAAGAGAAGACAAAGTACAAGGAAAATCAATTCTCTCAACTGTGGCATGTAGAGAGAAGAAACCAAGCTATAAAAATGGAAAGTGGGGTCTTCAGATTCAATCAATCGAATGCCAGGTGGACACAGCTTTAAAAAATGAGGCTATTATCACTGAAGTTCATTTGACAGAGCTTATGTGTAAGAGTCAGGTGATGATCGCTCTTGTCCACAATCATAAAATAAGGTGCCAGAGTGATTTATCACTCTGCCCTTCTTATATACCCCAACTTTAAGAAATGTCTATAAATTTGGATCTCCCTTTGAAAAACTCTTACTATGTCAGTGTAGATTAGCCCACTGTCCGGTACATAATAAGCATTCAATAAGTGATGAATAAATGAACTGAAATTTGTTATTTTATGTTCTTATTATGTTAAATAAATAATTCAATGCTTAAAAACTAATGCACTTTTCTCTTCACCCTTTTATTCCCTTAAACCAGAGATTCTGTCTATGTAGATAACTTAATAATAGGTGGTACTTACTGAATGATTACTGTGCCAGGCACTGTACTAAGAAGTTTACATGACCTTATTCAAACCTTGCAACAACCAGTGAGCACACACTTATTCTACTTTAGGAATAGGACAGTAAAATACAGAGAGGTTACTCTTTGAAATGTTAAGCAATTTGCCCAAGTTTACACTTCCAATAAATTGGGATCAGATTAACTGATTGTGTGTGTGTGTGTGTGTATAAAATTATATTTAGAAAAAAGACAAGAAAGTGAATCAAGAAATATAACTGCTATTTTCTAACTTGTTAATGCCTAAACAAAGTATGTACATTGAGGGTAAACTATTGACAACAACCTTAGGAAAACAAGGAATGACTAGAGTAGGGCATTTGCTCTTTTATGTTAACCAAGTAAGAAGTGCATTTTCTATCCTAACACATGTACACACACAGACAACCATACATATGTATATAACTGAAATAAATTTCACTAAACAATGCATACCGTTACTATTTGATACATAATTAATATTTTCCATTCTTTTTCCTTCCTCTATTTCCTTTCCTCCTCTTTTCTCCCATGTTATTCTGTAGTATTTTAAATATTGGTTGGGATCCACTTATAATTGACTTTACTGTGCATTAAAGGGTAGTGTTTTACAGTTTGGAAACCACTAAACTAGAAGGAGATAGAGGTGGTGGAAGGAACAAGAACTGTTGATTCAGTTGTGAGTCTTGACTTCTGGGCTACTATTATATTAACTGCGCAGGACAATCAGATAACATCTTCTCTGAATTTTAGATTATCATCCATGAAATGGAGTTAATAATATCTACTTCAAAGAGTTGCTGTGAAGAGTAAGCAGTGAACATAAGCACCTTCCCTAGTACATAGTGTGTCTCAGAGAAGTATGATGACAGCAATGTAAGGAGGACAGAGTGCTGGTCCCAGCAGCAACTAGCTGTGTGACCTTATGCAAGTCATGTAATCTCTAAGCTTCAGTTTAATCCTGTATAAGATGAGGAAATAGTAGCACCTACCTCATAGGGCTGTTGTGAAAATTAAGTGTGATAATCCATTTGAAGCCCTTGGAACAATGCTGGGTGTTTATTAAGTGCTCAATGAACTATTGGCTATATAAGCTGTTCAACAAAGATGACCATATCTGTGATTACTCTTCAATCCCTTAGAGCTAGTCTGGAACTAGCTAGGTTCCAGTATCTAGTTTGTTGAGACAAACTGAGCATTTTGGATGTCCATGTGAAATCAGAATTTCTCTGTTTTACTCATCAGCAGTTTCTAGAGGCCAAATAAAACTTGGCTACAGCAAAGGAAATTATTTTAGGAAAGAAAGATTAGATCCAAGTTGGAATTCCCTTTCCTAGTTCTTCTTCAATAGTATTTCCACAAAACCCAATCTTTGTTTGGCTTGAGGTGAAAGGCCTGTTTTCAATGAGTGGATTTTACCAAAAGAAAAATGAATAGAGAAGTGAAACAGAACATAACTCTACCACTAAGTAGTGGAAAGTGAGTAACTCCTCAAAATATATTTTTTAGCTTAATTCTACTTTAACTAAAGAACTCTATGTAGTGGCCCCCATCTCTAAACCTTCCTTCTTACCACCCATGGAGGCAGCTTCCAAGATGGCCTCTGGTACTTCATGTTACAGTCATCCCCTCTTATTCTTGAAGGACTATGTTTACACATCCCCAGTGTATACCTGAAACCATACATAGTACCAAATTCTACATATGCTATGCTTTTTCCTATACCTATCTATAAGTTAGTGAGAAATAAATCAATAATCATCAATAATAACAGCATTTATAGCAATACAGCACCATAAAAGTTACTGAAAGTGTGGCTTTGGAGGCACTACAGTGTTTTTGCTCATATAATTCCCTTCTCCTGTTGAGTATGGACCAGACTTAGTGACTCACTTCTGACACACAAGACAAGGTGGAAATGACAGTGCTTGACTCAGAGACTAAGTCATAAAAGGCAGTGTGACACCTCCTCTGGCTTACAGAGCTTGCATTGGCAGAAATTATCCGCCAGGTTGTGAGCAGCCCCATGGAGAGACCCATGTGATGAGAAACCAAAGCCTCTTCCTAATAGCCATGTGAGTGAGCTTGGAAGCTGATCTTCTCGCCTCTTCACAAGACTATAGCTCAGCCAACAGCTTGACTGAACTTCAACAGATACCCTGGGCCAGAACTACTGAGCTAAACCACTCCCAGATGAATGATTTTCAGAAACTGTGAAATTATAAAGTTTTTTTTTAAGTGGCTAAATTTCTGGGATAATTTGTTACATAGTAATAGAAAGCTAATACACCACCCTTGAATCTTGCCTCCCACAGCACTTCTGTATTAAGTCAGTCAATCACTCATTCCATGAACTTTTATGGACTGCTTGCTATGTGCCAGGCTTATAATTACCTGCAGATCATAACCTGGAGAAGTTTTCAGCCTGGTGGTGGTTATGCAGTGGACAGATTAAAAACGCTGGGTGTGTGCTAGTTGCCACCATGTGGTTTCAATAGATGGCGTCAAGGACTCTGGCCAGAGCAGATGAAAGAAGGGTACAAAGAAGACATGGCAATTGACCTAATCTTAATAGCAATTTGATGGTTTTGTAATGTGTCCTGTTGGTTGAGCCCAACTATATTCCCCAGCATTCTCTCTCTTTCTATGTTTCTAATTAGCATGAAGTATAAATGAGATTCTGGCTGAAGAAGAAGGGGAGCAGCAGCCATCCGTGGTGCACATGTGCTATTGCTGATCTGCAGTAGCTGGGCCTGCAAAAGACTCTATCTTCTTTGGCATCCTTCTTAGCTTTCAGACTCTTGGGCTAGGTGTGGCATGTACGTTTAACTCTGAGATGAAGAGCTTGACTTCTGAGTGATACTCATCATCAAGATGAGAGGCAGCAAGAGTGACATTGTTTTAATTATTCTTTGTGCCTGAGATGCCAGCCAGCTCATGACTTTCCCTTTCTGATTGCCTGCCCTATACATTTCAAGATCTAGTTTCAGATATGGAGGCACTAGTCTTACACAGACTGTATAACCAACTCCCACAATTGTTAATCCAATTCTCTGTGACAGAAAGGAGGTAAAGAGTGAACAAGAGGAAATGAAGAGAAAGAGCATTCAAGGTAGAGGAATCCACAGGAACAAAGGCACCATTGGGAAAAAGGTAGAGATAATATCATGTTTGACTATTTGTATGACAGTATGACAGCAGTGCAGAATAATCAGAATGAAAGTTGGCCTCAGCTCTACTTATCAGAACAAATACTTGCCATGGTAGTGAAGCAGGGTTCTGGAGAGCTCTGTCTCTGTCTCTTTTAGTTACTCAATTATGGAGACTAATTGGGGAGAAATCTGGGTGGCTCCTGTGATGGTTAAGGACAAAGAGTATGTGACAGGGGAGGATCAGAGATGTGACTATGTACTAACTGACACATATGTGTTCTAATATTTTTTAAAATATTTATTTACTTGAAAGGCAGAGTTACAGGGAGACAGAAGGGAGACAGAGGGGAGAGAGGGAGGGAGGGAGAGAGAGAGAGAGAGAGAGAGATAGAGAGAATGTTCCCTCTGTTGGTTCACTCCTCAAATGGCTACAACAGCCAGGACAGGGTCAGGCTGAAGACCAAAGACAGGAGCCCTTTCAGTGAGCTGCTGCTTGGGACATCCCCATCACACATGGGTGCAGAGGCCCAAGCACATGGGTCAATCTCCACTGCTTTCTCAGGCCATAGCAGGGTGCTGGATCAGGAGTAGAGAAGCCAGGACTCCAACAGGTGCCCATATGGGATGCTGGTGCTGAAGGCTGTAGATTTAACCCACTCAGCCACAGTGCTGGCCCTGTGTTTTAATAATTTAATAGCTTATAGTATTATATTGATACATTCCTCCTGAGTGCCAGCTCTCAGAAAGTATGTTGCATGTATGATGAAGAGCAAGTTGTTTAATATGACTGGAATGTTGATTCACTTGGTATAAGACTGTAGGTTACTCAATTCAATGAAATTGTTTTAACCTGTTACATCTTATGTGGCCACAGACAGTTAAAATAGCTATTAGAACCATTTCATGAAGAGATACAATTTTAATTGCAGAAGACCAGGTTCCTACCCCTTCACATAATGAGAGATCAAAAATTAAGGATTTTAGCTGTTTTCTGCTACTGTCACACTGTGATCTGGGTGAATCAATTATTATGTCCTGTCCTGGAGCCAAAAAGCAATGGCCTTACTTGGGCTTTCTTACGTAATTTTCTGGAGACTTGGGATGGTTCTCCAGAACTTAAAGCAATAGCTCTTAAGATCTCTCATTCTCGAATGAAAACAGATTTTATGCAAGAGGTATGTCTACCTTAATGCCTCTACAACAAAACTTTAGTAAGATAATTACTTGACATGAGTTGACCTGCTATCATTCTGTTCTTTTTAGATAGTAGCACAAATGTGCAGTTTATCAGTCTCTTTGATTGCCTTGATCATTCATAATATGCATGATTTAATGGCTGCTCCTTTTCTATTCTGTAGTGTCCCCTGGTATCTAGAATTCTGCATACAGCAGATGTCTAATAAATATTGAAATTCCCAGCTATAATTTTTGGTGAATTTTCCAGCTCCAAAAACTCCAACAAGGTATTTAAAAAAACCCATATTTATTTGTTTGTTTGAATGGCAGAATGACAGAGAGACATACAGAAACACACATACACACAAACATAGAGGGAGAGAGAAAGAAAGAGTCTTTTGTCTGCTGGTTTACTCTGCTAATGATGGCAACAGCCAGAATTGAACCAGGACAAACCAGGAGCCGGTACTTCCATCCAGAGCTCTGACATGGGTGACAGGGACTCAACTTGAGCCATCATCTGATGCTTTCCAGGCACATGGAAAAGAAGCTAGAATTGGGTCAGCACTGCAATATGGGATGGGGGGTGTCCCAAGCAGCAGCTCAATATGCTGCCAACAAGCTCTCCCTCAAACAAGATATTATAAAGTAAAATATTTAAGGGATTTGGATTTGTGTGGCTCTGTATTGTCCCTGCCTTCCTTCCACGAGCTTGAATAATGAAAAACAGAGTGGTACTTCTGTGTGTGTGTGTCCATGACAGCACTGTGCACATGTGATAATGGTGTACAACTTAATTCCCTTTTCTTCAAGGGAAAAGCCAGTCTTGTTTAATGAGTACGTATCAATACAAGGATTACTTCAGCATTTCTAGAGACATTAATATCTCTTAGGTAGGGGCTGGCGCTGTGGCTCAGTTGGTTGGTCCTCAGCCTGTGGTGCCGGCATCCCATATGGGCATCAGGTTCTAGTACCGGCTGCTTCTCTTCCATTCCAGCTCTCTGCTGTGGCCCAGGAGGGCAGTGGAGGATGGCCCAAGTGCTTGGGCCCCTGTACCCGCATGTGAGAATGGGAGGAAGCACCTGGCTCCTGGCTTCAGATCGGCGCAGCGCTGGCCATGGCAGCCGTTTGGGGAGTAAACCAGCGGAAGGAAGATCTTTGTCTCTGTCTCTCTCTCTCACTGTCTGTAACTCTACCTGTCAAATAAAAAAAATCTCTTAGGTAAACTCAAGCTACCAAAAATGGATATTTGTCATTAAGAAGAAATGCAAATCTTCAAACAGAAAAAAATAATACAGTCAACCCAACTATTCTTGTCTTTGGAGAGTTAGGGCAGTTGGGCTTAATTAGTCACATTCTTGTTGATAAAAATGTCACTGTTAAGCTCATTCTTTTTTTGAAAATATAGTTGAACATTGTAAAGGGAAAATTGGAAGATTTTGGAGTATCATTGAAAATAATGCTTTTAAATGCATAGATATGAAAACACAAAATAATGGTGTCTGAATGTGGATGATGAGAATATGCGATTTTTTAATTTTTAAAATTTATTAATATGAATGGAAGGGAGGGAGGGATGGAGGGGAGGAGAGACAGAGACAGAGACATAGAGAGAAATAGACTGCTGCTTCACTCCCCAAATGCCCACAACAGCCAGGATAGATAGGACTGGGGCTGAAGCCCATAGCTGGGAACACAATCCAGGTCTCCTATGTGGGTCGTGGTGACCCAGTTCATAGAGCACTGCTGTTTCCTAGGATCTGCATTAGCAGGAAGTTTGGAATCAGGAGCTGGAGTCAAGAACTGAAAGCAAGCACTCAGATGTGGGACACAGCAGTCCTGAGTGCTGGATTAATCACTATGTTAAATGCTCACTGCAGAATCTAGATTTTTAAGAACAAAGTATTTCTTCTCAATCAATTGAGTTAGTAGAATTAGAAGGCACTATCAAAAAAGACTGAACAGAGATAACTACAGACATCTTAAGACTTTTGATATTACTCTGAGGCAAATTTCTCTTCTTGAGCTTGGAAGAACCTCTAAAAAAGATGAGATAGGTTTTTGATCCTTTCTGCTTGGCTTATTTTCCTATTAGGCCCATATACACTAAATTGAATTTGAATATGTTTACTGCACCCATAGGTGAAAATAAATTAACATAGAATTTAGCATGACTTTGTGAGGTGCAAGGCAGAACACAATAAGAGTTTTTCCTCTCCAGTCTATTTCCCTGGAAAAAATCATAGGTTGTTCCACTGTTATTAAACCATTTTTCAATAGTTCAACTTCCAGCATAAGCATGAATAAATTTATCCTCCCAATATAAAAAGCAATTCACTATTTTATTTGACTTTCTAAGCAACATCTAATCCTTTAAAAAAGTTGCTTGTTCACTTATACATACAGTAATTCTGAATTCTTTTAAAAATTTTTAATTAATATAAAGAGAACAGATTTCATGTATTCCATAAGTACAGTTCTAAGATAATAAGCATACATCCCTCCCTCTTCTCCCTCACTCAATCCCTCTTTCCTTCTTTTCTTTTTTTTTCTTTAATTTTTTTTCACTTGACAGGTAGAGTTATAGACAGAGAGAGAGAGAGAGAGAGACAGAGACAGAGACAGAGAGAAAGGTCTTCCTTCCATTGGTTCACCCCCCAAATGGCCGCTACAGCTGGCGCTACGCCGATCCAAAGCCAGGAGCCAGGTGCTTCTTCCTGGTCTCCCATGTGGATGCAGGGGCTCAAGCACTTGGGCCATCCTCCACTGCCCTCCTGGGCCACAGCAGAGAGCTGGACTGGAAGAGGAGCAACCGGGAATAGAACCTGGCGCCCATATGGGATGCCGGCGCCGCAGTTGGAGGTTTAACCAACTGAGCCACGGCACCGACCCCATTTTTTCTTTAATTTTTACAAAGACATAATTTAATACTTTCTAGAATCACAGGTTTACTGCACCAGTAACCATAATATTAAACAAGTAAAAAGTAGGAAGACCACAGTTCCTGGGAGTATATTCAAGAGCTAAAAATGACAATCATATCACAAGATGAAACATCATTCTTATACATCTTTTTGAATTTTATATTAACTACCACAGATCAGAGAAAATATATGATATTTGTTCTTTTAGGAATGGCTTATTTTATTAAGCATAATGGTTTCCAGTTGCATCCATTTTGATGCAAAAAACGGATTTCATTCTTTTTATGGCTTAGTAGTATTCCATATTGTATATATACCACATTTTTTTTTTTTTTTTGACAGGCAGAGTGGACAGTGAGAGAGAGAGAGACAGAGAGAAAGGTCTTCCTTTGCCGTTGGTTCACCCCCCAATGGCCGCTGTGGCCGGCACACCACGCTGATCTGAAGGCGGGAGCCAGGTGTGTCTCCTGGTCTCCCATGCAGGTGCAGAGTCCAAGGACTTGGGCCACCCTCCACTGCACTCCTGGGCCGCAGCAGAGAGCTGGATTGGAAGAGGAGCAACCAGGACAGAATCTGGTGCCCCGACTGGGACTAGAACCTGGGGTGCTGGCGCCATAGGTGGAGGATTAGCCTATTGAGCCGCGGTGCTGGCCAACCACATTTTTTTTTTAACTTTTATTTAATAAATATAAATTTCCAAAGTACAGCTTTTGGATTACAGTGGCTCCCTCTGACCCCATAACTTCCCTCCCACCCGCAACCTTCCCATCTCCTGCTTCCTCTCCCATTCCATGCACATCACTATTCATTTTCAATTATATTTATATACAGAAGATCAATTTAGCATATATTAAGTAAAGATTTCAACAGTTTGCACCCACACAGAAACGCAAAGTGTAAAGAACTGTTTGAGTATCAGAGTCAGTGAACTCAGGGGGTTTCCATAGCCTTGGCAGCTCATGACAAGAGCCTAGGGTGATTACTGAGGCCATAAACAAGAGTGTCAATTTGTTAAGTCAACAACAGGAGTCACTGTGCACTTACTCCTCATGTAGGATCTTTGTCCTTAGTGTGCTGTACATTGAGATTTAATGCTATAACGAGTACTCACACAGTATTTTTCACTTTATGTTTCTGTGTGGGTGCAAACTGTTGAAATCTTTACTTAATGTATGCTAAACTGATCCTCTGAATATAAAGAGAATCGAAAATGAATCTTGATGTGAATGGAAGGGGAGAGGGAGTGGGAAATGGGAGGGTTGTGGGTGGGAGGGACATTATGGGGGGGAAGCCATTGTAATCCATAAGCTGTACTTTGGAAATTTATATTCATTAAATAAAAGTTAAAAAAATCCTAAAAAAAAAGTACTGTTTGAGTACTAGTTATAGCATTAATTCACATTGTACAACACATTAAGGACAGAGATCCTACACGGGGAATAAGTGCACAGTGACTCCTGTTGTTGTCTTAACAATTGACACGCTTCCACATTTTCTTTATCTAGTCATCAGTTATGGACATCTGGGTTGATTCCATATCTTAGCTATTATAAATTGAGCTACAATCAACATGGGGTACAGATAACTCTTTCATGCTCTGATTTCATTTTGTTTAGGTGAATTTCCATGAGTGGGAAGACTAGGTCATATGGTAGGTCTATTTTCAGATTTCTGAGGAATCTCCATACTGTCTTCCATAATAACTGCATTAGTTTACATTCCTATTAACAGTGTATTAGGGTTTCTTTTAGTAATTCTGAATTCTTAGCAAGCTTCTCATTCCCCAGTAGATTAAATATCTCATAGTCTATGCTGATAGTTGTTAGTCAGAATTGGTCTTCTGAGTCTGGGTTTTGCTTCCTGTCCATTTCTTTTCATAAAGAGCATCACAGAGCTCACTTCATTGACAGTCTGAATCAGTGCTGTATCGTGGGAGCAGTTCTAACGCCATTTATATTTAGTTCTTCCTTGTGCATGTAGTTCTTTACACCAAGCCATCCTATCAACTCCGAGGATAAGTGAGCCAATTGGAGAAGGTTGTGAATCCTTGGCAAATCTCATCATAAAGTACACCAAAATGCTATAATCTGAATGCAATCTTCATTAAGAATTTCCACCACCTGCTTGCTGAAGCCACAGCACAGCTCCCCTCATAATCACTATGCAGGGGGCAGCATTAGTTAATGTCATTACACAAATGTTGAGATCTTGTGCATGTTCATTAGCACCAGGTGGGAAGCTGCAGACGTGGAACTTTTCAGGGTGACGAAGGCTTGTGCATCATTTATTCAGCCAACTTTCTGAGTATCCTCTGAAAAGGAAGTAATTTTCTGGTGTTTTTTTTTGTGTGTGTGTGTGTTTTTTTTTGTTTGTTTGTTTGTTTGTTTTTTGGATAATGTCAGCCTCAAACTTCACTAATGAAAGTGGAGGATGCTCTTTCCTAACTGTGTGGCACTGGGCAAGTCACTAAACCTCTCTGTATCTCAGTTTCCTTATTTACAATATAAAATTGAGGGGCCTGTGCTGTGGTGTAGCGGGTAAAGCCACTGCCTGTAGTGCTGGCATCCCATATGGGCGCCAGTTCAAGTCTTGGCTGCTCCACTTCTGATCCAGCTCTCTGCTAGGGCCTGGGAAAGCAATGAAAGATGGTCCAAGTCCTTGGGCTGCTGCACCCACGTGAGAGACCTGGAAGAAGCTCCTGGCTCCTGGCTTCAGATCAGGGCAGCTCCAGCCATTGCGGACAATTGGGGAGTGAACCAGGGGATGAAAGAACTATTCTCTCTCTCTCTTTCTCCCTCCCCCACCTCCCTCCCTCTCTCTCTCTCTCTCTCTCTCTGTGTGTGTATAACTCTTTCAAATAAATAATTAAATCTATAATAAATAAATAAAATTGATAATTTTATCTGCCCTATAGAGTTCCTGTGAAGAGCAAATGAAGTGAGTTAATACCTGTTAAGCTCTCTGAACAAAGCCATGTTAGCTATCAGCAGCAGTGTCTTTGTTTTGCTAACTCTACTTTATGTCCTTCATCTTTAACACACTGGGGCACCCATACTGACCCAAATGGGCTACAGAGAAGGATCTGATTCTGACACATGGCAACTTTTCTGGTTACTGTTTTTTGTATCCTATATCCCCAGGACACTTACAAAGTACTATTCACTATGTTCAAGTCTTTGCAAATATTTTCTCATACAAACCTCAAAACAAGCCTAACAGGATAGAAACTAACATAATTTCCACCTGATTTGTGAAGATGTAAAATGAAGATGCACAGACTTCAATGAGTGGATGGGTTTCTTGCATTTCATATTAACTTTCTTCTAGGTGTTCTATTACCTTGTGACTTAGTGGGTTGTGTGGGAGTGCTGGGAGTGCTGGCTACCACACTTAGAATCCAGCTTCTTGTTGATGTGCCTGGGAAGGCAGTGGGTGATGTTTCAAGTACTTGAATCCCTGCCACCCACATGCAGACCCTCATGGAGTTCCTGGCTCTTGGCTCAGCTTGGCCTACCCCTGGCTGTTGAGGGTATTTAGGGCGTGAACCACTGGATGCAGGATCTTTCTCTTTCTTTGTCTCTCTTATTCTCTTTGCCTCTCCATCTCTCCCTATAGCTGTGCCTTTCACATAAATAAATAGTTTCTTTTTCTAAAAAGGACTGATGAGGATACAGATTTTTAGAACTGAAAGGCCCTTGTCTTTCATGTAGTCCACACAAAAGAGTAGTAATCAGAGAAGTTCCCACTTCACCCCAGGTCACACAGCCAGTGTGACCAGAGAGGACCAAATAATTTGCGCAGATGCTTGATTCTACAATGCTCTACTTTTACTCTTCCTATTATTTTACTTAATTAATGGATCTTTTCATATGTGAAGATATTTAAACTGTGCACTCCTCTCAGGGTGTGAGTTGCTTCATCAAGGAAATTACATAGGAGGAAATCATACTTAAATGGAAAATTAATTAAAGGAAGAAAAGTAATATTTGGGATAGGTTTTTAACATTTAATATAAAAGTACACACAATTGATTTAACTTGGCAACATATTAAAAGATAGTGTTAAAGTCATACCACAGAACCACAAATATGATAATAAAAGGTTTCCAGAGCCTGTGTTACCAGACTTTCTTCAATCCTATTTTCTTCCCGGGGTTTATAACTGGCACGGAACTGAGGGGATTAAGTCTCCTTTCAGCTTCTCTATGACTTCTTCTGCCTTAAGCCTGAATTCCTGAGGGCAAAAGGGAATACCCTATCCCTTTTCTCTGCATCTGCAACCACATTGCTCTACACACACACACGCACACACACATGCACACACACTTTCTCCTCCTAGAATGAAGTCTACTCTTCTTCTCTCATCTGCTCTTTCTCACAACCTCCACTCCCTCCCCCAAGACCTTAACATCAGAAGTTGGCTCCGTGACATTGTCTCAAGATCAAAGTGAAATGGTAATTTCTGTGAAAACCAAAGTCATTTTAACCTCGCTCCCTCTCTCACTGAAAGCCTGGGTTTCATGCCAGTGTAACACTAACAATCCCACACTCTTCCTCCTCTTCTGTATGAAACTCCACACGCCTGCTCCCTTCCCTTTGGTGTCTCTTCACCTCCAATGCATCGCTGCTTTTCTCTAGAGACATCCACAGAAACTTCCAGCTCCTCTTTTAATTTCTCTTTTATTCTGTCTCTTCCTATCTCTCATGGATAAGCAACACCTATTTTGCTTGAGTCTATAGTGAAGAAAAAGGACCAAGTAGCAGAGGGGTAGCAAGTTGGAAGATAGCATACGTGGGGGTGGCAGGAAATTCCTATTTAGTGACTTTCTGTGTGTCAGGTATCACTGTAAATGTTAGAAACATAGTCATTCTCATTTTACATATGAGCAACCTCAAGTTGATAGAAATCATTTAAAATTCTCTGGGTCATAGATCTTGTAAGCAGTCTAGTTAAAATGCTAACACAAGGCAGTCTGACTCAAGAGTTCAAGTTTTGGGCAACAGTGTGACATCAGTGATATCAGTGTGGGGAAGAGTGGGATAGCCTCTATGAAACATCATCGTACCACCTTTACTTCCTTCTGTGGTCTTGCTTCACATATGTTTAGGGGGTCTAGTTTTCTGAGATTATTCAGCATAAATAACAAGACCAAAAGGAATTGCAAGGAAGCCTGCATCTAGACAAGGACTCTGACCCTCTTATTGCTTCATCATTCCTCCATGCATAATCATGTATATGCCCCAATGCTTCTTTATTGAAAGGGAATGAAGAGGTTCTGATTTTGCCATTAAAGTGGAACCCTTTCTGAAATCATGGATGTTTTTCAAGAAGCTGTCCACGCGGTCACTAACTGGAGAATTAACTGCTAACTGGAGGATATAGTACTCCCCTTTGGCCACAATATCACCTGAAGAGTCTCATGCAAATGAAAATAATTTTTGTTCTCAATAAATAGGAATAGAAATTCTCCATTTAGTTAGGAAATACCTTAACAAAGGAAAAATAGAGGTTTTTTTCCCATACTTGAAAGTAAAATATCGAATTCCTAACACAGGAAATCTCCTTAGAGTCTGCCTCCAGTAGGAAAGCTCATGTCATATTTGGCAAGTTTTATGAGAAAAGCATTCAACTCTAATAAGTAGCTATTCTGGTATTATTCCTTGGATGTTAAATTCATTTGCTGAGAATACCCTAATACCATGGGATAAAGTCTGGTCCCAATAGGAGTTATGAGCTATCCTAGGGATTATGACATGAAATGTTCATATAACCATTATTAAAAATGAATCTGTTTTCTTTTGCTATTTCTCTGCCCAGTGGAAAGAAAGAAAGAAAAGTAAAAGCACTCTACAGAGTCCATGAAAACAGAAGAACAAATCAAATCCTAAAGGATCTATTCAATAACATCTTGGCTTGATACAAGGTCTTGACTTGGTAATTTGAGTGAGCGAGTAGTTTTCCTTATCTGATTGGATGGGAACAACAGGGAAATGGAGGGCAGAGCTAACATTTAATGCGCACACTACTCATGCCCGCACTGTCTGACTTTGTGTACCAATCCCTTTCTACTCTGGACTAAGTCTTGTTACCAGCTTTGGCCAATGAGATGTTAACAAGTGTAGTACTTGCAGACACTATTCTTGTTTATGTGATCCCTTTGGTTCTTAGTCCTATCATTACGATCAATTGTGAACAGAAATTGATCACTGGGACTAGTGAGATGGCATTGGTACATGCCACCTTGATGGGATTGAATTGGAATCCCCTGGTATGTTTCTAACTCTACTGTTTGAGGAAGTCAGCTTGAGCATGTCCCGAATTGCACATCTCTTCCCTCTCTTATTCCCACTCTTATATTTAACAGCGATCACTTTTCAGTTAAGTTTCAGCACTTAAGAAGAATTGTGTATTGATGTGTCAATTTGTTAAGTCAACAACAGGAGTCACTGTGCACTTACTCTTCATGTAGGATCTCTGTCCTTAGTGTGCTGTACATTGAGATTTAATGCTATAACTAGTACTCAAACAGTATTTTTCACTTTATGTTTCTGTGTGGGAGCAAACTGTTGAAATCTTTACTTAATGTATGCTAAACTGATCTGTATATAGAGAGAATTGAAAATGAATCTTGATGTGAATGGAAGGGAAGAGGGAGTGGGAAAGGGGAGGGTTGCGGGTGGGAGGGAAGTTATGGGGGGGAAGCCATTGTAATCCGTAAGCTGTACTTTGGAAATTTATATTCATTAAATAAAAGTTAAAAAAAAAAACAAGTGTAGTACAGGCTGAGATCTGAAATATGCTTGAGTTTCCATCTGTTATCCTCTACCACAGGCATAAGAACATACCTGTACTAGCCTTCTGGGTGACGAGCGACACACAGAGCAGACTTAAGATGCCCCAGTCATCCCAACTGAAGCCACTCTAGGTCAGTCAACAACCCTCTAATCCCCACACCTGTATAACCCAAACCAGAAGCATTGCTGTTGCTTAGCTAAACAAAGATCAGCAAAGCCTCCTAACACATATCTCAAATGCGTGGATAGTAATTGTTTATTGTTGTGTGTTTTGTAGGGGCTTATTAAGTAGCATTTTTGTGATTCTAGATAACTGATACAAACTCTAGAGTAATGAAAAAGATTTCTGTATATCAACATATAATGTAAATTATGTTCCATGCTATGTGAAAGCTACCGTTAGGGACATGTGTTAAGATAGACTTTTTGGGCCAATGCTGTGGCATAGTGGGTAAAGCTGCCACCTGCAGTACCAGCATCTCATATGGGTGCTGGTTTGCATCCCAGCTGCTCCACTTCCATTCCAGCTCTCTGCTATGGTCTGAGAAAGCAGTGGAAGATGTCCCAAGTCCTTGGGCCCCTGCACCCATGTGGGAAACCCGGAAGAAGCTCCTGGCTTTGGATTGGTGCAACTTTGGCCATTGAGGCCATCTGGGGAATGAACCAGCAGATAGAAGACCTTGCTCTTTGCCTCTGCCTTTCTGTAACTTTGCCTTTCAAATAAATAAATAAATCTTTAAAAAAGAAGATAGACTTTGCCTTGGTGCCTGGCCCTCAGAGCCTTGAGACTTCTCTGGATAACCATTTATAGGCAGGGGAAGGATAATAATAATTTCACTTAAACAGTGAGATTATTCTTGGTAACAATCACTCAGGGACAAGGAATATCTCCTCAAGAAGAAATTGAGTAGTTGGGTGAGTGATATGACATGGTCTCTCATGCAAAGGAGGGTGTTTCTTTATGGGGCCATTCAGAGTGACTTCTGTGTGGGGACTGACCTGGAGCAGGAAGGTCAAGGGCCCAAGAGGTTCCATGTGATAACGATGATGATGACAGCTGGCACTTACTGAGCAGGTTGCTGATTATGTCTCAGACACAATACTCTACTCTTGACAGATATCAGCTCATTTAATCTCTATAACAACCCTATCAGGTAGGTATTGCTTCCCTTCCATTTTATACTTGAGGAAACTGATGTCCAGTGCTATTAAGTGACTTTCTGTATTAGTAAGCTTCTCATCACTACAATAAAACATCCGAGAAAGCTTATTTTATTAGAGAAGAGTTTATTTAGCTCAGAACTTTAAAGGTTAATGTTTAAGGTCAATTGGCCCCATTGTTTGGGAGTCTAATGAGGATGGCAATGGTGGAGTGCAGAGTATGGGCAGAGGAAGGACATGTGGTGAACCAGGATCCAGAGAGGTTGGGCCCAACTCAGGCTTTTGTAACCAAACATCTCATGAGAACTCCCTCTGAGGGCATGCTCTCAACTATCAGGCCTACATCCTAAATTTCATAACTGGATTAAGTTTATAGCCTTCTTAGTACCATCAACATATTATGACTTTGGAGATTAGGAGCCAAATCTTGTCCAAACTATGGCACTTGGCAAGGAGAAATAAGTGAAAGTGGATGGTCACCAACCTGGTTCTTAAGGAATTTTGTCCTGCCATGAAGCCACTAGCATAGTAGTAGTGAGAAGGTATTAGACAAGGAGAGCTAGATTAAGAATGGGAATGAGAAAAGGAGGAAGACAGAGCAGTGAGACAATCTCTACAGGAAGAAAGTTGAGGAGCAAAGCCAAAAGTGTTTAGTAGGAGGCTTTCCCTCATTCCCGCCTGCCCCAGAAGTTTTTCCATTAGTACTGTTTCCTGAGAGGCATGGGTTGAATTTGATTAAATAGAATGACATTTCCTGATTTTTGTATGTGCTAGGTATTTTGTTTAGCTTTTCCCATACATAAGTACACTGGATTATAAGAACAGTTTTTCAATTAAGAAAAAGATTTCTTCCATTTATTTTAAGATTTTTTTTTTTTTTTGAGAGAGAGAGAGAGAGAGAGAGAGAGAGGATTCTTCCATCCACGGGTTCACTTACCAGATGGCTGCAATGGCCAGAGCTGCGCTGATCCAAAGCCAGGAGCCAGGAGCATCATCCGGGTCTCCCATGCAAGTGCAGAGGCCCAAGCATTTGGGCCATCTTCTACTGATTTCCCAGGCCAGAGCAGAGATCTGGATCGGAAGTGGAGCAGCCAGGACTTGAACCGGCACCCACATGGGATGCTGGCACTGCAGGCGGCGGCTTTACCCTCTATACCACAGCACCGGCCCTACTGTTAAAGATCAGTTCTATTCAGAGTATGGTTTCTGGCCTGGTGGTATTCTGTACACTTTTTTTGTTCTGTCCACAGGGAGATGATCCAGAAATTGATGGTAGGTGTATAGAAAGTAAGAAACATTAACAGTAATGATCTGCGTGTTGAATCTAATAATCTAAACAAAAAAGTGTATTTCTTTCTATGTTTTCTATTTTATTGTCCTGGTTATTCATGAAATGCATTTACAAAACTGTTTTTCCTCAAATGGATTAGAAGTTTAAGAAATACAGTTTGAAACTTACTGTTCTAGATAATGGAATTGAGGCTCAGAGAAACTGAATAACTTGTTGAATTATCAATCATTCAGACGTACAGCAAGATTCAAATTCAAGGCTTAACCTGATGCCCATCAAATAATTTATTTTTATTAAAATCAATGTCCAACCTGACTGAGACTGTGGCTGTCTATACCTACCCTGTTAATAATGATACTAAGTTAAATTTCTTGGAAGGGGAGGGGGAGAAGGGGGAGGGGAAGAGAATGGGGGCAGTGGGGCTTTCTATTGCTGATCAACAAGAACATCACAAAGCCCAGTGATAGAACTTTAACAAGCAAAGCGATGCTGCCAGATGCTGCCAGTGTGTTCTTGTAGGCGGCACAGCCCTGGCATTTGTCTGGGACGTGATTCATGCCGTATCCCTTGCAAATGACAGTGCAGCACTTTCCTTTGCTCCTTTTGTAACTCCCTAAGGGAGAAAAGTGGGAAACACATAAAATTCTCATTTAAGAAGAATTATCTAGCAGATCCTGCATCCAGTGAAGCAGTTCATTTTGTACTTTAAAATTCAAAGAAATTTCTCTCTATCATCTATTAAAATAAAATCATGCTGGGATCGTAGCAAGGAGCAGTAGATAGGCAAAGTCTATGGAGCAAGGCACACTTAGATTTGGGTCCTGCCTTTGCCATTTTCAGGCTTTGTAACCTTGGCATCATGCTAATATTTCTGAATTTCTCTTCTCATTTGTAAAATGTGAATAATTCATACATCATAGGATTTGGGGATAATTTAATAAGGTAACTCATATAAACTGCTTTTTATCAAGTATAAAGTAGAAGGATAATCACATAATATACCTTTAAACCAGATATATTTAACCAACCTCTTCGAGATCTTTTCAGATGCTGTAGCTATACAATTTCAAAATAGCTAAAAGTTTATTTTTTTCATTAATTTTTAGTTATTCAGCTAGTGAGGCTTTCTCTAACAAAGAATAAAACTTGATTATTTGATTCATTTTTAAAAATGGAATTAACATGGCTGGCTCACTTGGCTAATCCTCCACCTGCGGCACCGGCACCCCGGGTTCTAGTCCTGGTTGGGGTGCCAGGTACTAGTCCCTGTTGCTCCTCTTCCAGTCCAGCTCTCTGCTGTGGCATGGGAGGGCAGCGGAAGATGGCCCAAGTGCTTGGGCCCCTGCACCTGCATGGGAGATCAGGAGGAAGTACCCGGCTCCTGGCTTCGGATCGGCGCAGTGCCGGCTGTAGCAGCCATTAAGGGAGTGAACCAATGGAAGGAAGACCTTTCTCTCTGTCTCTCTCTCACTGTCTAACTCTGCCTGGTAAAAACAAAACAAAACAAAAACCACGGAATTAACTGAATGGTTTTCATGTTTTGTTTCTATATGTAGAAAATCTAGTGATTTAGGATAATATTTTGATATATTACTTTACATTGAAAACTGGTTTTATTAAATTTTTAGTTTACTCATTATAAAGGATTATTGTTAATCTTATAAGGGTATTGAGAGTCAACTTAGATTATGTAACATGATTTGTGGCACATGATGAACACTGAATAAATATATTCACCACTTATTCCTCTTTATTTACAAGTGCTGTAATTTTTAGGTCAATGTCACTTTATAACATTTAATTATATACAATGATTACTACCCATGTAGACTCTTAGAGACTTAACAGAATGAAATACTTTCTACTTGGAAGGTAAAAGTATGGGTACCAGTGATTTAAAGCTACTATGAATTTGCCCTGAAACTCTATAGTGAAATTTCTCCAAATGAATGATAATAAAATCTCCATGACAGATGACTTCCAAGGTCTGCACTCTAGCTAGTTTCTGAAGTGGTATGAAGCCTTTGACATTTTCTCAGTAATTGCCCTCTAAATTGTGTCAACAAGTGCAATGGGCTCTTTATAGTTTAGCCTGGCTGGTTTTGCCCTTAACCATACCAATATTCTCTCCTGAGCAAAACAGGAACCTGTGCTTCAGAACATTAATTGATTTTTCCTTGAAATATCCCAAGGGTCTGAAGTCCAAAGACTCTTTCAAGAGCTCATTTTAGGCAACAGTGGAAACTATTTTAGAACACTAGACAAGGTTAGTTAGAAAACCACTTGGCAATAGTTGATAACTTAGTTTCTACCATTGTGCTATTATTTATGCTGAATCTGAAGACTTTTAGATGTGTCCAGAGCACACACATTAGTCAGCTTACAGGGTTATTTAAACATTAAATGAGATTAGATCCATAGAATTACTTTCGAAACTTTCACTAATATGCCAAGGTTGATAAGGTCAGATATTGTTATTTCATAGGATGTTTATACTACGCCATGGTCCCTTTATAGTCACAAGACTGCACAGCCAGAGTCAAATGTCATATACATTTAGCAGTGTCCTAGCAAGAAGGAAGAGAGGGCAGCATTTTTTTCCCTACAATTTTATCTTTTTGTCAGGCAGGAAACTCTTTCCCAGGAGCCTGGACTTCCGCAGATTTTCCTTAGGTTCCCATTGTCTGAAACCAGGCCCCACAGTCATCATAACCATAACCAAGCTTCACTGTGAGTGGTTTAGGTCAAAGGAATGCAAGATGGTCTGATGCAAATTTCTGTGCTATCTCAGCATCCCTCCAGATGGATGCTGCTGTTTTAATGCTCCCTGGACATTCCCTGGCTCTACATTCTGGTTTCTCCTCTTAAATAAACTCATTGTTTCTACTTATTGTTTCTTTGGTGATTTCAAAGAAATTCCCCAGCACGCCTGAAATCTGCCTCTTGAATTCTTCCATGTTTGTCTCCCTTTCTTTACTTCTTACCACCCCACCCCCCCGCCAAGGATACATGCAATTACAGGGAAATAACGAGACCTGGAATCCGATGGACCTGAGACTGAATTAGGACCTTGTCATATCTTAGAGTGGTTAAGTCATGGGACTTCTTTGCACCTCTGTTTCCTCATCTGCAAAAAGGAAATAAAATGTCTTCCTCATAGGGTACAAGGATTGGAAAGTGCCTGGCATACAGCAGGCACCCTTTCTAAGTGACCCATTTTTTTTTTTTTTTTATTTGACAGGTAGGGTTAGAGACAGTGAGGGAGAGAGACAGAAAGGTCTTCCTTCCATTGGTTCACTCTCCAAATGGCTGCTACGGCTGGCGCTACACCTATCCGAAGCCAGGAGCCAGGTGCTTCCTCCCTGTCTCCCATGTGGGTGCAGGGCCCAAGCACTTGGGCCATCCTCCACTGCACTCCCGGGCCACAGCAGAGAGCTGAACTGGAAGAGGAGCAACCGGGATTAGAACCGAATCCCACATAGGATGTCGGTGCTGCAGGCAGAGGATTAACCAAGTGAGCCATGGTGCTGGCCCCCCATTTTTTTAAAAAAAAGATTTATTTATTATTTGAAAATCAGAGTTACAGAGGGGGAGGGAGGGAGGGAGAGAGAGAAAGAGAGATCTTCCATCCGCTGGTTTACTCTCCAAAGGCTGCAACAGCTAGAGCTGGGCTGATCCAAAGCCAGGAGCCAGGAGCTTCTTCTGGGTTTCCCATGTGGGTGCAGGGTCTTGAGGACTTGGGCCTTCTTTTACTGCTTTCCCAGGCCAGAGCAGAGAGCTGGATCGGAAGTGGAGCAGCCTGGACTAGAACCAGCACCCATATGGGATGCTAGCACAGCAGGCGGTGGTTTTATCTGCTACACCACATTGACCCATTCCTTTTTATCTTAACTATCATGCCAAATATCTATTCCTGAGATAGCTCCATCTCTAAGGTTGGCTCCAACTCTTCACTTGGATCATTTGGTTTAGATACTGGCTTATTTGTGGCTTATCTTGAATTTAATCCTGTAATTCTTCAGGACATGCTCATTGTTTCAAATATTCTGTTATTTGTTGATTCCAACACAACTCTGGATAAAAGATGCCCTGGCCTTGTGCTCCAATCCAAAAAATAAAGCAAAACAAATGTTTCTGAAAATTAAAAAGAAGCTAAATATAGAAATACAGTGAACATGTAAGAAGATCCAATGAGGATCAATGAAGTCCAATTGTTCTAACAACAAAGGCTGGCCATGTGGCTAATTGCATTGAGTAACAGGACTTGGCAACAGGAATATGTTGCTACAAGGGCAGTAAAACTTCAAAGGACAATATTATACAATGCAACACAAGAAAGCAACAGAAGCAGACATTGCGAGACAGAAACAGATCAAAAGACTTGGGCATGACCCAAGCTATCCTGGTAAATGTGCTATTGGGAAAATGCCTGGGAGCCCAAAAGATATTCACATTTGGGTAATTTCCTTCTATAACATAAGGAAACAAGTATGTATTTTTATAATATAATCTTTTTCATGGTATATGCATATATCAAGTATTTGTTTTTCTTTTCTTTTAATTTTGGATCTATAGATCCTCAAAATAAACCAATAACATTCCTGTAATATCTATTGCAGCTCAATGTAGCTCTTACCCCTGATTATTCCCTGCTTGGATTTATGCACTCTTCCCTACTTGGAGCTGGAGTGAAGTGGACATCTCACAAATGTTTATCTGCTCTCACTTGTTGCTGACCCCTTGCATTCAGGGCTAACACTAATTGGTAGAAATATCAGATCCTCTTGGTTAGACAGACTGGCCACTACATCAAGTCCTTTTGGTTGGGGTTCTAGATTGACTGCTTGGGAGTCCACACTCTGCCCCCACACCAGCTGTTGAGATTGTTCACTGTGCAGCTGATCTTCACCAATTAAGATCACTGCTTTCTTGATCCTCAGCTTTGCCAAGTCTTTATGTTTTTAAAAAGAAACTGCTGTGTTCTGGTTTGATTGCCAGACAAGGACTTCTTTGTTCCGCCTTATCATTTTTGGGGAGAGCTGCATCTCACATTTTTAAGCAGCAACACTTCTTCTGACTTCAGTTACTCACATGCTGTACTCTTGCCACTGCTCCTCAAGCCCTAGACTTAGTTTTGATCTCCTCAGTGGTTCTAGCATCCAACTGAATCAATCCTCTGTGAATCCCTGCCTTTAGCTCCTGGTCTACTTCTAGGCTCATTCCCTATTTCAATTCCAAATTCTCACTACTGCTTCCTTCAGCTCCAGGTATTTTTATGTGCCTCTCCAGATCCTGAGATGTTTTAAGACAGCCTCCTGCTTACAATGCTGAGGAAACAGAGTGGGAAAGAAACGAGCACCTTCCCAGTTGCTTATGCTCTATAGTCATTGAAGCAGAGCCCAGGACCAACATGGTGAGAGTAAATCTTTCTGCCGAGTTGTCACTTGTACAGGCCTTCTCTTTCTTTTTTTTGTGATTAGCATTCTCTCTCTCTCTCTCTCTCTCTCTCTCTCTTTCTCTCTCCCCCTCTCTCTCTCTCAAAACAAGTATAATTCCCAGATTCAGAACATGATCAATTTCATTTGCATGGACACCAAAGTGAAGTAGCTTTAATTTCATTGAACTGAATAATAAGAATAGTAAACTTCTATTGAGTCCTGAAATGTTTTAAATGATGTACAATTCACAAGAAACTTCTAAGTATTACTTTTTTTCTCCTGCTTTATAGGGTAGGAAATTGAGAAGCTAAAGAGGCAAAGTCACTTGTCCAAGATTACACAGCAAGTAACTGTCAGACAGAATGATTCAAATGTATACATTCTGTCCCCAGAATCTGAGCTCTAAACCATTATGGCACAGGTTTCTGGATCTCTGACATGGTATTTGGTCACACTTAAATAAATCCTAGAGGACATGCAATTAATGGAGTTTTGACAGGAAATTTTACTTCTCAATATTTATTTATATTCATCTTACATGAAGGAGAGAGAGAGAGAGAGGCTGCTTGTTCACTCCCCAAATGCCTGCAACAGTCAGGCCAGGCCGAAGGCAAGAAACTGGAATTCCATCTGGATTCCCCACACAAGGGGCAGGAGCAGAAGTACTTGAGCCATCATGTGTCATGTTCAAGGATGCAGTATCAGGAAGATGAATCAGAGAAGTGCGGCAGCAGGGACTTGAACTGGCACTCTGATACTGGATGCAGGTGTCCAAAGCAGCACCTTAACCTACTACATCACAATGTTTGCCCTGACAGGGAATTTTAAAAAAAGAGTTTGGGTTTCATTTTATGATGAAGCAGGTAAAGCTGCCACCTTCAGCATCTCATATGAGTATTAATTTGTATCCTGGCTTCTCTACTTCTTTTTTTTTTTTTTTTAAAGATTTATTTATTTATTTGAAAGTCAGAGTTACACATTGACAGAGGCAGAGAGAGAGAGAGAGACAGGTCTTCCATCCACTGGTTCACTCCCCAATTGGCCACAACAGCCGGAGCTGTGCCGATCTGAAGCCAGGAGCCAGGAGCTTCCTATCAGTCTCCCACATGGGTGCAGGGGCCCAAGGACTTGGGCCATCTTCCACTGCTTTCCCAGGCCATAGCAGAGAGCTGGATCAGAAGTGGAGTAGCATCCATATGGGAGAGCCCTGGCTGCTCTACTTCTTTTTTATTTATTAATTAATTAATTAATTAATTTATTTATTTTTTGACAGGCAGAGTGGACAGTGAGAGAGAGAGACAGGGAGAAAGGTCTTCCTTTGCCATTGGTTCACCCTCCAATGGCCGCCGCGGCCGGCGCACTGCGGCCGGCGCACCGCGCTGATCCGATGGCAGGAGCCAGGAGCCAGGTGCTTTTCCTGGTCTCCCATGGGGTGCAGGGCCCAAGCACCTGGGCCATCCTCCACTGCACTCCCTGGCCACAGCAGAGAGCTGGCCTGGAAGAGGGGCAACCGGGACAGAATCCGGCGCCCCAACCGGGACTAGAACCCGGTGTGCCGGCTCCGCTAGGCGGAGGATTAGCCTAGTGAGCCGCGGCGCCAGCCTCTGGCTGCTCTACTTCTGATCTAGCTTCCTACTAATGGCCTGGGAAAATCAGCAGAGATTGGTTCAAGTGTTTAGGGCCCTGCCACCATGAGGGAGACCTTCATAAAGTTCCTGGTTAACATATGGAAGACAGACAGGAGAAGCTATTTTTAATGGAAACAAACAAGGAATTAATATCTAGACTATACAAGAAATGCCTACAAACAAGAGTAAGAATATATGACACTTAATAGGAAAATAGCAAGGAATTTTAAGAACCAATTCAAAAATAGAAACTTAAGGCTGGCACCGCAGCTCACTTGGCTGATCCTCCGCCTGCAGTGCTGGCCAACCCAGGGTTCTAGTCCCTGTTGGGGTGCCGGATTCTGTCCCGGTTGCTTCTCTTCCAGTCCAGCTCTCTGCTGTGGCCCGGGAAGGCAGTGGAGTATGGCCCAAGTGCTTGGGCCCTGCACCCGCATGGGAGACCAGGAGGAAATACCTGGTTTCTGGCTTCAGATCGGCACAGTGTGCCGGCTGTGGCAGCCATTTGGGGGGTGAACCAACTTAAGTAAGACATTTCTCTCTGTCTCTCTCTCTCTCACTAACTCTGCCTGTGAAAAAAATTAAAAAAAAAATAAAAAAAATAGAAACTTAATTGACTAGTGTATGCAGAGATCTTCCAGACCACCAGTGCCCCTAGAAATGGATTATCCTCATCAGTATGGGAAAAATTAGAGAACTGGATAATAGGATATGTTGGTGAAGATGAGAAAAAAGAAATCCTCGTGCACCCTCAGGAGGATGAGCTAGTATAGCTATGCAGGAATTAGTGAACTGGTGAGAGTAGTATATATGTCCTTTTATCCAGCCATCCTGCCTTTATCCATAAACCTTAGGGAAGTTCACAATCAGTTCTATAAAGAAAAGTGTGTAGAAATATTCCCTGCAGCACATTATTAATAGGTTAAAGAAAATTCCAGTCTTAGTGAGTCCTTCACTAAAGGATCAGATGGGTAAAGTGTGGGAGAAGCATTTGATACCATATAAAGACCAGTTAAAAGCAATGGATAAATATACACAAAGTAAAGAAGAACAATTTAAAGTTTAAATTCTATTTAAATTAAAAACATATTCACAGGTAATTAGGAATTATCAGTGGATGAATACAAATTTAATAGATAAAAATTAGATAAAAAGCAGGATGTTTACAGAATCCCCAAATATTAAATCATAACTTACTTATTAATTACAAATTGGAGAAACCTAGTGTGTATCATGAAAACTGAATGATGAATATTTCATTACTTTGGGGGCCAATCCACACATTATATATCCTTCACTGAATATGATTCAGCAAGAAAAATATGTGGTAATTCAGTTATTCTTGTCAAAATGCTTAACTGGAATTCACCCCACAAAAACATGAGACAAAACCAAATTGAGAGATGGTCTATGAAATAATTGTTTCATACTTTTCAAAAATTTCAATGTCATGAAAACAAAAGAAAGAAAAATAAAAGACTGCTTCAGACTAAAGGAAGTTAAGGGAAAATGTGACAGAAATATTTAAGATGTAATAAAGGAAATATTGGAAAATGAATGGAATTAGGATAAAAACTATGAATTAGATAACAGTATTGTGTCAATGTTCAATTCCTGATTTGAATAGCTGCACTGTGGTTATATAAGACAATGTCTGTGTTCTTTAGAAATGTATGCTAAAGTATTCACACTTAAGAATGTATTATACACATATGCTAAAGAATGTATGATATATGTTTTTCTGATGTGTTCAAATAAATATTTTATTATATATATGTTTCTTTACATAGTTGCATTCAAATATATCATAAAATGTATTTCCTGCTATATGTGGTATATTTTTGGGACAAATTAGAATGATTATAAGAGATTTGCTCCTAAATACTTCTGTGTTTGTGCGTGTGAGAGAGAAAGAGAAGGAAAATTTTGAAGTGAATCATGTAAAAATGTAATGTAAATAGTTGGTGCATCTGGATAAAGAGTAGATGGCAAATCCTTGTACTGATCTGGAGACTTTGTCATGTATTTGTAATTACTTCAAAATAAAAGTATTTGTTTAAAAATTCACAGGTATTTCAACAACATAGACATGAATAAAGGTGTATACTGAATACATGAGGGTGGGTGCTAAGGGTAGGGTGTGAGTTGGTAGTTGGGATGGGATAAAGGAGAAAAATCGTAAAGTAAAACCAGAGTGAGGCCTTTAGCTGATTAATGATGGTCTTGGATCCTGAACTAAAGATAATAAATGGCCTTTCCTCTGTGCAGCAAGGTCAGAGGACAATGATAGAGTCTGGATACTCTTCTGTGATATTAATTTAGGATTCACTTATTTACTGAATCTTTCTCTTTCCTATGTATTTCAGGCAAGCATCTGAACTCTTGGTCTTTCCTAGCTTTGGAAGTTTGTGCAGGGAAGAAAGAAACACCCATTTGGAGACAGTTCTAGATCCTGTGCTTTGAAAGCCTAAATCCAAGGAGATTTAGCTACAGAGTACATTTGAGGGTACTTATAAATAAGAGGGAGAGATTTCATCTAGAATAAAAAAAATCTCAGAAAAGGAAGAGGCAATATAGCACAGGTAGGATCTGGAGCTCCCAGTAGTTCCTAATTGGACCAGAAAAAACTATGGACTTTGGGTAATGGATACCTCAAAGGCAGCCAGGATGCAGAGATAAGTAATGGCTAGCATGGTCTCCTTGAGGATATGCTACTGGATAACCTAAGGTATTGGCACCATCTTGGATACCATCTTAATAATATCTTACATTTTCCTTATGGGATAAATAGATGGGAGCTTAGACTTAGTCTTCAGTTGATTACAGGGAATAAGAGAATGAGCATTTCTATTTATTTATTTAATTTTAAAGATTTATTTATTTGAAAGTCAATGTTATCACGATGGGGGGGGGAGAGAAAGAGAGAGAGAGAGAGAGAGAGAGAGAGAGAGAGAGAGAGAGAATGTTCTTTCTGATGGCTGTAACAGCTACTGCTGGGCCAGGCTGAAGCCAGGAACCAGGAGCTTCATCCAGGTCTCCCAGGTGGGCCATCTTCTGCTGCTTTTCCCATACAATTAACTGGGAGCTGGATCAGAAGTGGAGCAGCTGGGACTGGTATTACATCAAAGGTGGTGGCTTTACCCTCTTTGCCATAACACTGGCCCCAAGAGAATGAACATTTCTAAACCTGTGAGTTTGGCAACCCATATCAGAAGCCTGCTTCTATTTATAAAATAAGTAGTTAAAAATTTGGTTTTCCAAATTTATAAGTATATTGTAATTCCCTGTATCATAGTATGTCACCACCTGCATCATATGATCATTTGATGCCATCTTTAGCAAAAGAACATAGAAGTCACTTTTATCAATTCCTTCAGAATAGAGGCTTAGAAAAAGTAAGTTCCAAGGCACTGTTGTTCAGAAATAACCCTAAGTTGTTATCTTTAGTCTGCTCCAAATGCCATTTTTTTTAAGTTGAAGAATGTGTCACTCCGGTAGATAGATAAAATGTGACCTTAGTTTACCTTCTACAGTCTCAAGAAAGCTCAGATTTGGGAACATGTAAGCACCAGGAAAAGAGCAAAGAGGATTGGTACCTGTGCAACAAACCAATGCCATGATTTCCTGGATAAAGTCAAGGAAAGGAAAAGGTGCATTTTTCTTTCAGGTGTTTAACAATTTTACGAATACCAATTATTTTCCAACTCTCTCTACTCAAAGCATACCAAAAAGGCAGATATCTACATTAAATTCATAGTGGAGAACTTGGAAATCAATTTTTTTTTAAATTTTTTGCCAGGCAGAGTTAGTGAGAGAGAGAGAGAGAGAGAGAGTTATAGACAGTGAGAGAGAGACAAAGGGAAAGATCTTCCTTCCGTTGGTCCACTCCCCAAATGGCCGCTATGGCCGACACTGCGTGGATTCGAAGCCAGGAGCCAGGTACTTCTTCCTGGTCTCCCATGCGGGTGCAGGGACCCAAGCACTTGGGCCATCCTCCGCTGCCCTCCCGGGCCACAGCAGAGAGCTGGACTGGAAGAGGAGCAACTGGGACTAGTACCTGGCACCTCAACCAGGACTAGAACCCAGGGTGCCGGTGCTGCAGGTGAAGGTTTAGCCTAGTGAGCCACGGCATCGTCCCGGAAATCAATTCTATTAATTATGAGAATTGCAGCAAGTGAACAAGGAAGTTATCTTCTTGCTAAATGAGTAGATGGCGAGGGAAAGAAGTCAGAAAAAGGTAGGTAGAGGAAGAAAGGGCCAGGGAATGGCTCTATGGAATGAAAGAAGTAAGTTTCTCTGCATGTTGAGGAAAAATAACTACATCCTGGCAGAGGAAGACTTTCAGACAAATTCGGATCATACTGTCAACAAAGGGTCAGCTGTACTCTGTGTGCCTGTGGTAGCTGGTGTACACTCAATCTTTTTTAAGTGGTACACTTGATCTTGTCTACAGGTGTGCGAAGAGCAGAGAAGCGATATAATAAGCCCAGTGTACTGCTAACAGAAACATCTCTCTTTCTGGCATCTTTTCAGTATCTTAAACATGTTGACCTGGCATGACAGCCTTCCATGGCATACCAAGTATGATTTCAAATAGTGCTTCTCAAATTTTTAGGTATGTGTGAATCATCTGGGGTCCTGATTAAAAATGTAGATTCTGATTCAGTGTGTTTGAGGTGGTGCCTGAGTTTCTACATTTCTAACATCCCCAGCTGATGCCAGTGTTGCTCCTTCTCAGAACACATTTTGAGTAGAAAGTGGGGGAACACATAGTCACAGGTACACATATAAATTGAAAGATATGCAATATGCACCATAGATGCATGCATTTGGACATACATACGGGAGTAAAGAAAGACACCAACTCATTCCTTGATATGAATTTTGAGAGCATTGTTTTACGGTAAGCACAATACATACATGGACATACACGCACAGAACACATTTTAGGACGAATCTTTGCAAATGGATTTTGAACTCACAAAATATTGTTGTGCTTTCCCAAGGCAATGCATCCTTCTCCAGGATGAATCTCTATGAGTGGTTTTGCTCTCTTTCTCTTAATTACTAGTTGACTTTCTCTCTCTCTCTCTCTCTCTCTCTCTCTCCCTCTCTTTCTCTAGAAAACTTTTAATCAAGGTATACAAACATGCATTTCATATATACAAATTTAGGAACATAGTGATTCTTCCCATCATACCTTCCCTCACACACACTCTCCTGCCCCTCTTCCTTCTCCATCTCCTGTTCCCATTCTTATTTTTTACTAAGATCTATTTTCAATTAACTTTTTACACATAAGATTAACCCTACACTAAGTAAAAAGTTCAACAAATTGTATGAAGAAAAAACTGTTCCTCAACAGTTGAGACAAGTCATTGCATCTCAAATTTCTTTTTAATGTTCATTTATTAATTTTAATTTGGAAACCAAAATCATCTACCTGAATATTTAGTATGTGTCAAGTATTGTTATTGCAATAGGAATACAAAATGGAGTCTGACTTCAAGATCCTACTACTAATATGGCAGAAACTATAATGTCTTTACACTTCTTTTATCAAAGAAACAAAAAGACATAAAAATATGAGAAAACACAATTGTCAGTTCTGGTTGTTGGTACATGGACTGTTTCCTATAGCATTCTTGGCATTTTTTTGTATTTTTAGAATCTCTCAAAACAAAAATTGTATTTTAATAAATCCACTGTGTCCATCTACAATTGTCACAATAATACTGGTTAACAAACAATTCTCAAACACAATCATATCTAGGCTGATCTACACTTGGCTTCACTGGGTGACTCCAAACTGTCACTGGCTGTATTTGATTCCTTACTAAATTGGGCTTAGGTGTGCTTCATGTATGTTCATTCTGGGGCCCAGAGTGAAGTTCTTTTCAAGGCAGTGCCAATTCAAATACACAAGCACATTTCACGATTGCTTTATTATGTTCTCTAATATCCCATTGCCTACATGTGATGTATTGAAGCTTAATGTCAGGAAGGGAAATGTACTCTACCTACTGTGAGGCTAAGTTGGGTACCTGGCCAAGCCTAACATCAATGGAGAAGGAAATATGTGTTTTCAATATATACCATGGCATTCCAACCAGTAGGAAAAAAACTGCAATGGATGTCTGAAAGGATTGCAATGAAAGAGAAATGCAGAGTTGTCTTGCAATTAGTGGGGAGATGGTAGCAGAGAGATGTCGGGGAAGACTTTGTAGTGGAAGTATATTTGAACTGTTTTTTTTTTCTTTTTAAAATATGTATTTATTTAAGAGACAGAGCAGGGTGTGTGTGTGTGTGAGAGAGAGAGAGAGACAGAGAGAGAGACAGAGAGAGAGAGAGAGAAGCAGAACACTCCTATGTGCCAGTTCAATCCTCAAATTTCTATAATAGTCAGTGAAGGGGGCAGAGCCAGTATTTAGGAACTTAATCAATACTCCCATTTTGGTGGCAGAAACCCAATTAATTGGGCAATTATCTGCTGCATTTGGCAGGAAGCTAGATCTAGGGGCCAGAACTGGGAACTGAACCCAGGCACTCCAATGTGGGGTGCAGACATATTAACCAACATTTTAACCACTAAGGTGAGGAAGTGTTTGCCTGGTCTACAAGACAGACAATGTATATCAGGTAAATAAAAATGAGTGTGCAATGATACAAAGGTCAAAAGACCTTTAATCCTGTTGGAAACCAAAAACAAGATATTTATGTATGTTGGGAGAAGTGAAGGGGCTAGTGGGAATCTAAAACAGCAGCAGATAGACCTGGAAAGGCAAGGAGAGTCAATTCATGAAGAACTTTGTATATCATGAACAGAAGTTTGGATTTTACCTTGCAGATAGCTTGGAACTATTGCAGCGCTAGTAGCAGTGGTGTGGTGTGAGATGATGGATAATTCGGAAGAGCATTATGGCTGTAAGAGGAAGAATGGATTTGGAGGATGATAAGTCAGGAGAAAAGGACAGTAGTTAAGATGAAATTACCAAACTTGCAAAGAAGAATTAACAGCAATTATTCTCAAATTCTTCCAAAAATATAAGAGGAAGCAGGAATTCCTAACTGGCTTCATGAGGTTAGTGTTACCTAATACCGAAAGACAGACAAAGACACTAAAGGAACAGGAAAGTACAGACCAATATCCCTTTTGATTATAGAAGCAAAAATTTTGAATAAAATACACGCAAAAGAAATCCAACAACGTATCAAAGTCTTAAGTACTATGATGAAGTGGGGTTTATCCCAGGAATGCAAGGGTCATTCTAAATAATAAAACCAATCATTTAATATATCACATTAGTAAGAGAGAATAAAGGCTCATGATCATCTCCTCTGATGCAGAAAAAGCATTTGACAAAATCCAGCAATCTTTCATGAAAACAAATACACTCAGAAAACTAGGAATAGGAAGGAACTGTCTCAACATGATAAAGGACATTTATAAACAAGACACCATTAGCATCACATGTAATGCTAAGAGATTAAAAGTGGCCGGCGCTGCGGCTCCCTAGGCTAATCCTCCGCCTTGCAGAAACGGCACACCGGGTTCTAGTCCCGGTTGGGGCACCGGATTCTGTCCCGGTTGCCCCTCTTCCAGGCCAGCTCTCTGCTGTGTCCAGGGAGTGCAGTGGAGGATGGCCCAAGTCCTTGGGCCCTGCATCCCATGGGAGACCAGGAGAAGCACCTGGCTCCTGGCTTTGGATCAGCACGGTGCGCCGGCCGCAGCGTGCCGGCTGCGGCGGCCATTGGAGGGTGAACCAACGGCAAAGGAAGACCTTTCTCTCTGTCTCTCTCTCTCTCACTGTCCACTCTGCCTGTCAAAAA